TCAAAAAATGAAAAAAAAAACCGTCTGGAGGTATGATGATATATCATTCCTGAAAAAATCTTTGAAATCAGTCAACTAGTTTCTGAGAAATCGATTGTACTATGAAAAAGGAATAATAATAATAATAGGAAACAGAAGGAAATCAGAAAGGTCTTCCGAAGGAAGTCGGAAGACCTAATATTAGTGAAAAAGAAACAACAGAATAACAAGAAGGTCTTCCGTTGAGACGAAAGACCTTAAAAAAAATTGTTACAAATTGATTTTATGCTGTAGAGTTTATTTTTTGAAAAAATACATCAGCACCAGAAATGCCTCAGAAGATTGTTTCCAGTTATGCAATATAATAGAGAGATTTAGCAAATCAACGTGTATGCGTATACGTGTAGGAGGGGATTCCCCCCGGAAATCTGTGCATTACGTCATCAGTTTTGCTAATGACGAATTTCTACACGTATCCACTTACGTTTTAATTACCGAGTACACATAATTACAAAGAAGACGGGCGTACTTGGCGTGCGATCTGCAGGAATCATGTGTACGAGACATTTATGGCTTAAATGTCCACGATTTGGTCGGTTGACCATTAGTGGACTGACCTTACAAAGTTATGCACATAGGAAAATGTTTAGATTTACATTGAAATTGCTTGCAAATTTGAAATAATTTAGTCTACTTATCTTTATAGTTACGATAACACAGTAATACTTCACAAAAATAATAAGCACCTAACAAGATAATAGGGTATGATATATGAAATGAAGTTTCATTAGGTTTGAAAAATTGTTTTCGCTCCCCGTGCAACTGAACCAAAATTTATCTCTTTTAAAACTTTTATATATAAAATAAAATTCAACTGATAAACGACTTGATTGTTTGTATAAAAAAGAAGAAAGAAGCCTGGTTCCTGCCGAATGTCAATCAAAACGCCCTCGTTTCTTTGTAGTCTATATTTCTTTAACTGCTATTTATTTTTAAAATGTGTGCGTTTTCCTAAAACTTGAATATATAATGCAAATACTGATATAAAGAACTAAACGTCTATGATTGAAAATATAATTTTATAGAATGTTAAATCCACAACATCTAGACTTTCAAAATAGGCTTTGACGTATCAAAATTATAAGAGTACTTTTCATTCTTTTTCTTATAAATATATGCACATATTTATTTAAAAGGGTGATGTGCATATTAAATTTAATGTGTTTTCTAATTTTTTTTTTCTAAATAATGTCAAGCATTTTTAAAATTTAAAACACTTGCAAGTACACGTACAGGTTATTCTTTGCTAAACAAGAAAAATAATGTAAACATGTACGTCTAATTCTTACTTGTAGTTTACACGTACATGTACACGTACAAGTGAGCTTGCTAAACCTCTCTAATATACACACTGTATACATTTATATGATACACAGTGTACGTGTTAAATCTATTACTGGGAATATAAACAATCTTCTGATGCAATTATAGTGCTGATGTTTGCTAAAAATTAACTCGACAACACAATTTTTAACAAAGTATTTATTCTCTGGCAACTTGTTTGAATTTTAAAACTACATAAATTTATAATATGAGGTTTGCCAACAATTAATAGTAATGTGCTTGAAGAAATTGCTGAATTTCTTGTAGTAATCCGCTTTGTAGTGAAAAAAAAAACCGTTACTGGAATTAAAAATTTCTAATGTGTGTGTGTGTTTGTGTGTGAGGGTGAGTGAGGGGGTGTGTGTGTGTGTGATACTTCCAGAATGTTAACATTTCTCAGCTGGCTAATTCTTTCGTCGTGCTCAAGTTATCCAAAATTTGTTTCATTGCGACTTCGAAGTTTCAGCGGCCATCTCGGCTGAAGCAATGAATAATTCAAACTTAGCTAAATAAATAGTTGATTTCACAAGGGTAATCACAATTACTTGAATCTCCGTACGATAATGAGGGCGCGCACATTTTTACTGACTTTTTACATAGTCAGCTCATGTTCATCTATTGTTCTCCGTTTAACAGTCAGTAGTTGTATAACTTGTGTCAAAAGGAGATTAATAGACAACATGAGTTCATGGTTTAAAATGAAAAAAAAACCTTGATTGTTCTTACATTCGCTGTCTCTGTATAATTATCCACGTGATTTCTTTCCTCAAGTAACTTTGTGAATACTTAATTCCGTCAAGTGACTTGTAAGGTAGCATGTTTTATACTAACTAGGACATTGTGTTAGAACATGTTAAATTGTAAGGCATTGATTTAAAATCTTCTGAACTTACAGGAATGTGGCCATATTGTTACTTCCGTTTTTAAACCTTTGTTAATGGTGTACTTGTGCCATACAGAATAAAAGGGAGATCGGGAAAGGGTGATCACGTATTTTTTTAAAAATACATGTCAATGATATTTATGCTAGTCTAATTTTAGACCCATTCTCAAAACTCCACCTCTCATGCATATTTTTATCAACTTAATGTTCAGTCACGGGCAGGTTAATGTAAATTCTCTATATTTGGAAAGCAGTAAGGGCAAAGGCATAGAATTTATTTTTTACTGTATCACAGCCTTAAATCATTTTAACATTTCAATTTGGTTCCAAATTAACAAGATTCTTTAAGAAATGAACAAAAGTGAAAGTAGGTTAAGATATAAAAGCTGAAAAGGCGTTTAATGAAGTTAGTTGCTTTACAATGAACATCTATATATTAATTCCAAAGTTTTGAAAAGTGTTGAAAATTTTAGCTTTGTCCATTGATAATTTGCCAACATCATTAAAATTATACATTCACCCAGCACTGTGGTTGTTTGGTTTTATGACGCTTGACAACGTCATTGCTTCTCTATGTCCGCTCCGTCTGCCTCAATGCGCTTTTCTTGACGAGATATCATAATAAATATTACTACATGTAGATTTGTTGAAACTAATTTGAAATATTAGCACTAGTGTAGGAAAATAGCATATGTAATATGTAAAATGTATACGCACATGCTCTTGACGATATAAAATATCTTTTAAACTCTGTTGTAACAATGTAAGTTCATTAAATAATATACTACTTTTGCTTTTATTCATATAGTTATTTTATAGCTTTTGTTACGCAGGAAAATTAAATTAACTAACAATTTATTAGCAATATTTGTTTTCCAAAAACCACTGTTGTTATCGACAATGTAAATAATGAAGTTGTTACATAGTTTCGTGTATACACAGTCTTAAACAGGTAGGAAATACAAGGGTTGTCCAAAAGCGTTTCGAAATTTTGGGACAACCCTCGTATAAATGTTATTCTGTATGAAATGAATATGATAATAGTATAAAATGTTTCACTTACAAGTACAACCACTCGATTATAGATGTAAATGTGAAGTCAGATTTAGGCCTCATTTAAACTTCCTGTCTGTTAAGAGTGTTTCAAAGTGCTGAAATTAAACATCAACACATTACAAGAGTAGCATATTAAAGTAGCACGATTCAAACTTAAAACTTTAAATTTTAATAATTTGTTTAGCTATAACATGTACTTCTCCAAACTACCTGCCTTGTCCAATGATATAAGGATCACTAGAGAACCAAACTGATCCTGTACCCAATCGAATACATGTTAATTATCACACTCATAATGCTCAACGCAGAAATATGAAGATACTCGTAAGCAAATGAATAATGTGCTCTTCAACTTATCCAACATTTTTCAGTATGGGTACCTTTGAATAAAAAGAGCATTAGAATTAATTGGAATTTATTTTTCTATATCAACGACGTTGTGTTGTCTATATTCTAATAGGAGAAAGGGGATTTTATTCCTTAGTAAACATACATTTCATGGTAAAAAAAATTTGACATGCGTTGTTCATTATATATAATGGACATAACAAAGAAGAACAATGCGAGCAACAAGCAAATTGTGCCGCAAATAAAAAGAGTGAAAAATTAAATCTCAATTATGATAAAATTTTCTTTAATATTTTATGTTAAATCTCCAAAAATCGCAAAAATCTCACAAACATTGAAATTATTCGTCTACAAAGTAGAATATATACACCAAAGAGGGCAAAAATGATTAATTCTTCTTCCTAAAACACAATTTTTCCGCATGAGTGGGTCTTCGCTCCATTTTTGAAAAGTTATACTCAAAGTATGCGTAAAAATATACATTCTTCGGTTAACAAAAGCATTAAACAAGGACCCACGCTATACCTTAAAAACACACATTTATGACACGACAATTCGTATCTTTAATTCTGAGAAATATTTGAAGTCCATTTAGTCAAAGGTTATATTTCAAACATAATTTAAATGCAGCTTTTTGTTTTAAGCGGAATAGCGTAGTTGTTAGCGTATTAGTCTCAAAGGGAAAATTGATAAATAGAATTTTTATTGATTGGGTTTGAACCTTAAGAATATCACATTTTTTTAAAATTCATAGAATGATTTTTTCCATAAGAAATTTCGGCAGAAATTTTTGTTTGTCATAATTTCATACCTTTCAATGATAAGAACCTTACTCTAAATTCACTAATTGATAACGACTTTTATACATTTGAAACTATGGGTACTTTGCACGCCTTTTTCGCCAATCTCCTTATTAATTTAACCACTGTGCAATACAATCATATGGAATGGACAGTAAATGTAATTCGACAATTTGTTGGGAAATCTGTGTAATATTTATATAAATTACATTAGCCTGAGTAAAAACAATTTCAATACACAGGTACTCTCTTATTTTCGTAAAAATTTACTCGTTACTCCATTCTTCAAAGAATGGAAAAAAATTGTACAAAGTTTTCATTTTGCAGAACTTTTTATGCTTTCAGCATGTGAAATTATGATATACATGTGTACTCAAATCATATAATGCAGAGTCACATGACGCATATTCGATGGGTTTGCCATATGCTTTAAGATAAGCAAAATTGGTAACCAATAAACTTAACTTCCTCATTGTCTGGGTTCGCTATAAGTATGAGCAGTTTAATTTTCGTAATGTAGAACTATTTTGCGTTTCTTGTTTTATTTATCAAGAAAATAATGCTATTTATTTCAAAAGTAATCGCAGCATTGGAAATTATAACAATACATGGATATTTCTGTTTTGGTAAGTTTATTTTCATCATCAATATATATATATACTTACATGCATAGCAGGGACGAGGTAGTTGAAATGAGTAATTGTAATTTACTGTATTTACATTTTTTCAAAGTAATTGAAAGTATTTGTAATTGAGTTTGCTTTCAATTACAAGTCATTGAATGTATTTAAAGGCATTCCAAAAATGTCATGTATTTTTCAATTACATTTCAATTACATTCAAATACTTTATTTTTGAAGTTAAATTTTAAAAAGAAGGTGTTTTACCATGATGCATACCAGTAATGTTTGGCTTGAGTTTGTGTTTATTCAATAATTAAATGCCTAGTAATATTTATACAGCATAAACTCACAGCCCAGGGCAATATGAAAAGGTCAAATTTAAAGTATTGCTGCTTCAAAATATTCATGTATTTGTTATTCAAAATCTTTGGAAATAAAACTTCAGTAATTTATATGTATTTAATTACATTCTTCAAAGTAATTGAGAGTAATTAATTACATTTGTTAAAAAGCGATGTAATTGTAAGTAATTGACTAAATTATCAATGTATTTGAGAGTATTTGATTACATTTCAAAGTAATTTACCCCAACCCTGATATATATAATCCCAGCCACAGGGCTTATTCAAAATGTTCCTGATTAAGACCGCTTATCTTTAATCTGCTTTACATCAATTAATTTTTAATTTATTTTTACACATCTTTTCTGTACACAGAATAAACTATAAGACATACTTTAAGACAGACGGTTTATCTTTGTCAATGTTTTTGTCAGCAATGGTATGACCACGCGGCGCAACCTCGAAGTACGACCTATTCTATCGTTCGTCTGAAATGGTTTGGGCCCTGGATGTCGGCCTGGGTAGCTCAGTGGGTGGAGCACCTGACTTGTGATGCAGGGGTCCCGGGTTCGATTATACATTTTCTCCTTTCCTGTTACAGATTTGGTGCCGTTGACCACCCCTGGACTTGCAGGTGAAAGTCCTGCCAGGGGCAAATAAGGACTTTGGTTGTGTCTTCGAGGGCGAAGACAATTTAAGGAGGGAGGAATGTAATGGTTTGAGCCTTGGATATCGGTCTGGGTAGCTCAGTAGGTAGAGCACCTGACTAGTGATGCAGGAGTCCCGGGTTCGACTCCCTGTCATTCCATACATTCTTCTCTCTTGTTACACGTCAAATGAAGACAGAAGTTTTTATATAAGCATTTGTCCAATATCATTCACCCGTGTGATGTGACACAATTATTCCGTAAATTTTACAAGTTTTACCTCATTTAGTTTTTTTTAAAGATCTTGTCGTAAATTAAATAGAGCAAAAAAAAAAAAAAAAAAAAAAAAAAAAAAAAAAAAAATTAGTTCAAAGACGTTATACGGGATGTGTGTTTGTCATTTTGCTCGAAATTTATAGTTTCACTGGAAAATCTCAAATATACTTTGGAAAAGGCCGGAGAAAGTTTTTAAATGGCATATAAAAATTCAGAAATAAGAGACACAATTATTGCCTATTCGCTGTCAGGGGGCCCAAGGCTAGTCACGTCGAACAGTAAGGTTGCTCGCGTGTGGTAGAAATTAAACACCGACAAGCGGATTAAGCTTACAAAGTCAAGCCAAAGGCAATTGAAGACCTTTCTTTTTTATAGAGTGTTTTGAAATAAGTTGTTCTTGAAATTTTAGTCATATAAACAGAATGGATGTCAGTCAGTATGCAACACAAAAAGTCAAGGAAAAGGGGGAGTGGAAATTGAGAAGCAATGACGTTGTCAAAAATATTTGCATATTATTTGCGTATATAAAATTCAAGTAAAATGAAGGAATCTGAGTATTTTGACAAAAAAATTGTCTTTCAGTTGAAAAGCATTGGAACTTAGAAAATAAATCCTGCATTCGTTATATTTATCCAGATATTATAAGTGGACTGTGTCATTTGATTTCAATGACAGATTTCCTGCTGGACACTAGGTTAAAGTGCAAAGTTCTCCAGTGATGAGCTTTGAAATGGGACAGACCTGATCAGTCGAAAGCTACTTAGTATCTAGAAATCAGAAGTGCATATAAAATTGAAGTTATGATATTTTATAGCAAAACCATTGGAAACATTTGTAATCTTGTTGATTTTAACGATTTGCATTTAGTACCAGTTAGAGTTCTGCCTCCTACTCATAGTATTTAAAGAGCTAGGTTCACTTTATGCTTAAAATGGCCCTGTCCTTATATCAATTAATTGACTGTCACCCTCTGTCCCATTTCATATATCAAAATAAAGTATAGACTTAATGCTTTCATTTCCTATAACATTTCTTTTTTGAGAATCCAGGTATTGGAAAACAGGCTTTGAGAAAATGCAATGTTCTTGAATTTTGCAGAAAACATGCGAATTTGACTACCTTCAGCAAAGAATTAAAATATGAGCACAGTCCACGATCCAAAAATTAAAACATGTTTTGAGATCTTCAGAAACAGATCTTTCATTATGTAATTGCATATTTTGGATCAGAGGTTGTGCTCTATATGAAATAATGAAAAAAATACCTCAACTTTTGGCCATTTTTAAGGGAATTTACCAGATATGGGAAAAATGACGCATTTTATGACGTCATAATGCATTGACTAGAGAGAAAATTACGCCATGTTCAATAGATACACGGTCAACAAGGGTCCAAGTTATAAATACTGCATTTTCAACCAAAATTGAGCAGTTTCGATTTTACAGAAATTCTCAGGGCCAAAAAAGGCCCTAAGTGGCTCATGCTCTTTGGGACTTTTCTGTTGACGAGACTTAACGAGACTGACTGATTATACCACCACTTTCTAAAGTGCGGATATATTGTTGTTTTCTCGGCCCGTCCATCCGTCTGTCACACTTTCTTCTTCCTCAATCTCCTCTTTTATTTTAAGCAGTAACCAATTAATATTTTTGAATATGATAGTTGGTGTCCTGTAGAAGTGCAATAAGGCTTCGGAATTTTCAATTTTACCCTGGGCGCAAAACGGGGGTAAAAAAATGACGATAATTCTACAAAAACCCGGTTCCCAGAACTCCTCTTACATTTTACGCAGCAGCCTAATCATCTTTTGGAAGATGATTGACGGTGTCCTGTAGATGTGCAAAAAGGTTTCGGAATTTTTATTTTTACCCTGGGGTCGAATGGGGGTCGAAAATGGCATTTTTATACAAAAAATCCTGGTTCCAGAACTCCTCTTACATTTTACACAGTAACCTAATCATCTTTTGTAAGATGGTCGGTGGTGTCCTGTAGATGTTCAATAAGATTTTGAATTTTCATTTACACCCTAGGGGTCAAATGGGGTCGAAAAATGACTTTTTTCCCACAAAAATCCCTGGAACTCCTCTTTCATTTTACGCAGTAGCAAATCATTTTTTTAAGATGACTGCTGCTATCCTATAGATGTGCAATAAGTTTTTGCAATTTTCATTTTTACCATTAAATCCAAAGAGAAATTAAAAAAATGCCTTTTTTTTTTTTTTTTTTTTTTTTTACAAAAACCCCTAGTTCAAAGAATTCCTCTTACATTTTATGCAGTATCCAAGTCATCTTTTGGAGGGTGATTGCTGGTGTTCTGTAGATTCCAATTAAGTTTTGGAACTTTCATTTTTGCCCTAGAGCCAAAAGGGAGGGGATAAAAAAACCCATTTTCTTCTTATATTTTACACAATAGCCAAATCCTCTTTTGGAAGGTGCTTGCTGGTGTCCTTTAGATATGTAATAAAATTTTGAATTTTTCGATTTCACTTTGGGACCAAACGGGGGTCAAAAAATGATATTTTTTCTACAAAAAACCCTGCTTTTCAGAACTTCTCTTACACTTAAAACAGTAGCCTAATCATCTTTTGGAGATGGTGTCCTGTAGATGTGCAATAAGGTTACGGAATATTTATTATCACCCTAGGGGTCAAATGGGGACGAAAAATGATGTCCCCAAAACCCCCCTCGACCCCAGAACTCCATCTATAAAATTTCGAGGTTCCTAAAAGTTTGGATGCGTAGGATAAGTGTATGTTGGTAAACTTTTAAAGTGCCATGAGATTAGGTACTGAAAATACAAGGGACCATATCGAGGTGAGGGAAAAGATTACCAACATACAAAATATAGCATGCTTTACACGAAATATTGAAAAATAAGCTCATTGTTTTTCTATCTTTATTTTGTCACACCACCGACTTAGAAACTTGAAGTTTGATCCAGGTAGGGCAAAGGAGAGAGAAAATATACCCTGGACAAGTATTTAACACGAAGACGTTTTCTGACCTTGACCTTTCACTTTATAAATGCACACCCTCCGCCGCAAAAATGCTCTTTGAGTGAAATATGAGCCCAACTGAGCCAAGGGGAGAGAAAATATGCTTTGGACAAGGATTTTACACGGAAATGTTTTTCAACCTTGACCTTTTATCCAGAAAATTAATTCAAGTTCACTGTACATCCTCTATCAAGGTGCACTCTTTCGGTGAAGTATGAGTCTGACTTAGCCAAGGGCAAAACTATGCTCTGTACAAGGATATTTTCTGCAAAGAAATTTCCTGACCTTTACCTTTTCTCTAAAAAATGGTTCAAGGTCACTGCACACTCTCTACCCAATGGCACTCTATGGATGAAGCATGAATCTAACGGAGCCACGGGGGGAAAGTATGCTATTAACAAGGATTTTACCGAGAACGTTTTTGTCTTTTTGACCTTGATCTTTGCTTGAAAAAAAATTGGTTCAAGTTTCTTGAACACCCTCTACCCATGGGTACGCTTTCGAGAAAGTTTGAGCCAGGTAAGGTCTAAGGGAGAGAAACAGAGAGGAACACTGAACAAAATTTTCTTATGCAAAGAGATTCTGACCTTGACCTTTCATCTAAAAAATTGGTTTAAGGTCACTGCACGTCCTCTACCCAGGGGCACTCTATGGATGAAGTTGAGCCCAACTGAGCAAAGGAGAGAGAAAATATGCTCCAAAAAAGGATTTACGGAGTTTTTTTTTTACCTTTGGCCTTTGCTTGGAAAATTGGTTTAAGGTCCTTGCACTCCCTTTAGAAATGGGTGAAGTTTTGGCCAGGAGGAGTCAAGGGGATGGAAAATATACACCAGACAAGGGTTTTTTTAACCAAACTTTTCAAGGAATGGATGGGGTTGACCCTAGGGCAATGCCTAATACAACTAAATTGTTCCTGACAAAAATGCAAGAAAACATGCTTTAAAAGAACCCTCTCTAGAATTCTATTTCTATGGTACTTTTTTGCAGTTAGAGTAATCTGTCCTCTGAGGTGAAAACTACACTTTTACAGTGTATAACAATGCTTATTTATTAATTTAAGTACCAGTGTATTTTAAAAATTAAAAAAAAAGATTTGAAACTTTACTTGAATTTATTTTCCCCATTTAAGGAAGCAAAAGTACAGGTAATTAGTACTAATCAAGCAAAATGTGTCTTTGGAAATTGTCATTAAAATGTGTAAATAATTTGACAAATTGAACAATACATTTTAAGGATTGAATTTAATAGATACTAAAGTTTGTTGCTTTCATTCTTTTTAAGATATTTAATATTCCAGTTTCATGTAGAGGGGATGACTTCCAGGGGTCCTGACCTATACTATTTAATGCGTCATGACACAGAGATGCAAACAAGATTGTATATATGGTATTTGTATTTGGTTTGGGGTAAATCTTTCAACCGTTTTTGAGATATTTGGCCATTTCAATGGGGTTGGGGTCAATGCTCATGAACTTTATTATGTTTAATGTGCCATGACACAAAGAACAGATTATAAATATGGTTAATATAGTTAAAGCTTAAATGTTTTTGAGATATATGATCATTTCCCGTTTCAGCGGGTGGGAATGACCTCCAGGGGTCATGAACTATATACCATTTTATGTGTCATGATACAAGGTTATATAGATTGGATTTGGGATAAAGCTTTTATTTGAGATACTTACCTGTATTCTGTCTTCCTTGCAGAGTTATGGTTCATTCCTCTCTCAGACATACAGTAAATGTATGACCTGATGGTAGAGAGTGGCCTTCTTTTGTCAGCTAGTCCATAAAGCTATTTAAATCCATTTAAAACATGATACAAGTTCGTACTTAAAACCACAAAATAGATTGTATATGAAATAATCCATCATGTTAGTAACACAAGTTCCAAGTGCAAGTCATCTAAAACCACTGCTGCAATTTAGGAAGGACGCTTGTAACTTTGGGAGGTTGCAAAACCTCCATCTAGAAATTTTCTGAAGAGGGGGTAGTTAAGACAAATATGATAAGAAAACAAATGAAATTGGGATATGTATATTTGAGCGAATTCAATCAGGGTCACCCGGGTGGGTTTGAAAGCCCCCCCCCCCCCCCAATAAATTATTCTGATAACACAAGAGGCCTATTGGCCACATGCTCACCTGTGCAATTTTTGCTCATTTTAATACATGAATATCTTTTATGTAAGTTATAGAATAACTATTGTGGGTTCTTCATTACAAAGGTAGAAAGGAGAGTACAATTAGAGGCAAACAGCTATGTGCGGGCATTACTGTGTTATAATAGCATCGGTTTGGGAGTTGGAAGTGGCAAAAGAAAGCGTGTTGAAATAAACAGTCCTAACATAATAATATGCTTAATTGTACTAGACTCTTACTTGTGAAACAGGAACTAAATAAGAAGCTACTTGTACTCCTTGTTGTATTATACTTGTACCAAACCACAATGTAATAACTAAATGAAAACTACTTCATATAACATGTATAAAACACAAGAACACATGCGTGTCGGCTTAAATCTTTAAGAATTAAAAAAAAATCTACCTTCTTTACAGGGAAGGCTCATGTACACAACTGTAATATATTAACTTAAAACTTGATAACATTCACATCCCTATTTTAAAAGTTAATCTGGAAAACGTATACCTGTAAACATCACAACACATACATAATTAAAAGCTAATACTCCCTTCTATGTGGATCTAGCCCATGCAGGAATTTAGAGATGATCGATATTTAAGGTAGTACACAATAGATAGGCCAAAATTTTCCTGAATTCATTTTTTTTTTTTAAACTTTGAGATTTTGTTCTAAAATACAAAATCTCTCTTATATGAAAGAAATTTGACCGCACATTTTTTGCCAACATAGTTAAAAATATGGTCTATCAGACCCCTGTAAGAAGAATGTGAAATCAGACATTCGACTTGAGAATGTGCCTTGTCTAAAAACTATCAATTGATCAAATGCAAACTTGTGTGATGCTTTTTATAAAGGCAACCATTTTGTTACTAAAATTCAGTAAAGTGTGTTGATACTGGTAAATTTGAGTAAAATGTTATGTAAAAAATAGACCTTAAATAACTCCAGAATTGAAAATTCCCATGTAAATATGCTAGACTTCAAGTCCTCTTAAGAGATAATGTATGATTCAATTTTTACAAAAATCAACAGAATGATTGAAATGAAATGGATCCCAAAATAAAATGTATCAAGTTGATCCGATGGTTTCAGATATTCTGGCAATAAAAAAATCCATGGCAAAAAACTTAAAGATCCAGTAGATGACGTCACAATATTTGATCTTTGACCTCTTAATATGACTTTGACCTTTATCACATAAAGAATAGAGACTCTTTATATACATTTCCAAATATCAGCCTTCTATTACTTATAATCAAAAGTTACTTTGCATATAATAACAGACTGTTATATTACATTTAGACAGCATAAACACATTCTAAAATGTAGGCTCCCAAGTGACCAATATATAGGATGTCCCTTATTTTGTAACAAATTGCCGAAAAACATGTCACAGCTTATTAATTTTCTGATAAAGATTATTGATTATTGACAATAAAGTGATATTATTTTTTTTATGGCCCGGGATCGAAAGATCCCGGGGGTATATTGTTTTTGTCCTGTCTGTTTGTCTGTCTGTCTGTTGTCAACTTTAACTTAGCCCATAACTATTGCGCTGTCAAGGGTAGGGCTTTAATTTTTGACATGAGTGTTCATTATGACAAAACCTTTCCATTGGTACAGAAATTTTTGATCATGTGACCTCATCTGTGACCTTTGACCTACATTTGAAAAACTTTAACATTGGCCATTACTATTGCACTGTAGTCTACGTCCCACTCCAGAATTGTGTTACCATCGGGGGCATAGTGTTTCACAAACACATCTTGTTTCTCATGTACTTTTTAAGAAATGATTAAAAATAGATTTCATGGGTGTTTCGTACTACCTTAAGCCCTACGGGAAGTTTCTAAACATTAATTATTTGGAAAGTCCATATTTTCGCTTGTTAATCAGTTAGAATACTCAAGGAAAGGGAAGTAAAAATACTAGTAAAACCCTTAAATCTCTGATTATTTTGCAAACAATTCACAAATTCTGCATTTCCCGAACAATACTGGGGAAAACGTATTATGCATGGTTGTCCGTATTTATGAGTCTGCTACGAATTCGTTACTTCACGTTGCGTTTTTATCTACTTTACTGGAAAGGATTCAGACTCTTATATGGTTCATTTCCAGTGGTTTCCAAAGGTCCTGATCGGAATGCAAGGTGATTTGAAAAATAGGAATATCAAGGCAGAAATCAATTCAAACACATCTTCTTGCTAAACTCCCTTGATTGAATTTTCTGTTATTGCTCAATATCTTATATAGGGTCATTACATAGAGGTCCTTTTCTACTTACAGAGTAGTGAAATATTGGAATATTTTCATGGCCCACATCTATTGAATTCTCGACTGGAATAGATTCAGCGTATACTATTCAATACATATCATCAGCACATATTATCAAGGTCACATAGAGATGGCTAGGAGGAACAAATGGGGATTAATTGGTTTTTGTCCGAAATATAAACTACTTTTGTTGGAATGTGACCAACGAGAAACAGTTACAATGTACATACTTAAGATACAAATACTTGGTGTAGCTCTTGTTCATCGTACTATGACACAAGTTGCTTTTAAATGAAATTTGAATTTTGACTGAGTATAAACAAAAACCACTCCAGTCTATTATTGTCAGAAATCTGTCTTCAATCGCATCAGCTACTTGTTACAGTAATTAGTAATTACAAGTTCTTACAATGTCAAGTCCTTTTAACTAGAAATAGACATATTGAAGGTATTATGTAAAGAAGTCAATGGTTACAGTCTATGTACACAATTTGACGCATACAAAGGTATCATTTCTGAACGGAATACTACTCAAGATGCAACCAATGCCTCAGGTAGCTGTGAAAGTTCTTTTGTAAATGTATATAATCGCATAACTGTGCCATTTTAAAATTTAGGATGTTAAACTGTTGATACATACGATTATCATAATATTATTAGGAAACCTCCCCCATACCGTTAAATAATATGCTAAGGATTGGAGTAACTGCTGAGAAGGATATTGGATACCTTAACTCCCTTAAATCAGATTATTGATATTATACTTTGTAAAATTTTGTCTTGACATTTTTTAGGGAATAAAATCGGGACATGCTTGAAAAGTAACTATTGTATATTTCATAGTGTGATGATTGTGGCATTCAAAATTAGATTTTCTAGCGCAGGATTAGATATATTGCGGCAAGAGAGTCTTGAAATGTACAATCTCTAAAAAAAACCCCTCTTTATTTGTCTTTTGAAAAAAATTGCAAGCAATTTCGCAAGATTTGTAGACCGCTTGTTCTTTCATATTCAGAGGCAACATAGCATTATTCATTTACAACTCAATACTAAATATATTCAGATATATATAAACTAAATATTTTAGGCATCCCTGGTGACAGAGGACTCGTTCTTGGAATTTGGAATCCTGCATCGCTAGCCACCATCACAGAAATACCAAGAGCCCCAGCAAGTTATTTCACAAATGTCTCGAAGTCTTTAAATCCATCAAATGCGCAGATAACAAGCATTGCGTCTGATGAAAGAAATAAAATAGTTTTTATTGCCGTTAAATACTCAATATATGCATTTCATAAGTTTAACATATGGCAAAATGAATCAAAGACCTTCACAATTAGCCTTGCATATGAAAGAAAATCTGCAGGTTTTGGTCAAATAACATTTGATTATGTTTCCAACAATCTATACTGGTGTGATTCACTTCTAAACTGGATAGCCATGAAACCGGCGTATGGGCAGAATAATTCAATATACAGAATCGTTGTTCAAGATGACTTATATCAACCGGAAGGCTTGACTCTAGATTCAGAAGATGGGTATGTTATACATGTAATACTCTCTTTTATAAAAGAAAATAATCACTTTTCTGTATTGCAAAATTTCTGTCGTCTGAATATATCATTATGAAAATGCAAAAAGCAACAAGTGAATTGGAAATAAGTTTCTTTTCAAATTTTTATTCAAGCATACAAATCATCCGTTGCATTTTATTCAAATTCTATATCTTTACTTTTTGAAAATCTCTTTGTTTCTTTTAGATGTTTATTTATGTATTTTCATTTTAGATCTTTTACTAAGAAATATACAAGATTTAGCTTACGATGTTGTTCATGTAAATATAAATGTACGTACATGTTCTTTTGCTTTATTTCCATACATAAAGCATGCTTTTTTAATGCAACAGATTGATGTTTTTCTCTGACAATGATCTAAATCCACGCATTGAAAAGGCCTCCATGGACGGAAAGAATAGAACTGTAATAGTGCACACCAGTCTGATACGAATATTGGCCCTCTCTGTAGACACTGTCAATGATTTATTGTACTGGGCAGATTCTGGGAGACAGACTGTTGAGGTCAGCCATTTTGATGGATCGAATAGAAGAGTGTTGAGACGGAATAACCAGGTTTCATTGACTGGGATTCACTATCATCAGGTTTTGTGCATTCCGATTTTGCAATTAGATGTCAATAAATTTTGCTATGCCATTCTTTATGTTATTATCTCTAGGATATGATCCAATTTTTGCATTGTAATCAATAGATGTTCTTTTAATTTTTGTCAGAATATTTTGCATGCTGCAAGCGCTGGTTCAAAACAGATATTTGGATTCGATGTGAAATCAGGGTCTGTACTCTACAAGTTAACGATGGCAACAGTACAACCGTTTGCTGTTCATGTTTATGATGCAGAAACACAAATCTCATATGCTGGTATAAAATGCAAACATTTCTGAAGCTACCTCTCAAACATGCTTGGTCCCGTTTTACGAAAGAACTTAACGACTATGACCAAAACTTTCCTTGATTGTAAAATTTTGCAAAATTAATGATTCTGTTTAAAATTACTAGAGTAAAAATATCTTACTACATTCTTTTTAAAAAATAATAAAACCATCTGTAATTTAATATAAATTAGAAAGATATAAGCTGAATTAAAGTTTGGTCTTAGTCGTAAGTTCTTTTGTAAAACGGGCCCCAGTACTTCAAACTTGACATACTTTGTAATTTTGTCAATTCTTTCTATATCTGAAATAAATGTATTGTTTTGACATTATCGTTTTTTAATCAAATACATGAATATTATATGTTTCATTCACTTCCTTCAATACGTAGATCCTTGCTCATCTCGCCGTTGTCAGCATATGTGTGTCAACACTCCTGCAGGAGCCACCTGCCTCTGTGCTGAGGGTTATCAATTATCCACGGACGGATCTTCATGCAGAGGTACATTGATATTTTCCGCATTCAAATGACAAATAAATTCACATTCAACAATATGAAAACATTACGTAAACACTAAAATGATTAATATTGTATAATTCGTTCGCCGATATTTGATCTTTACAACAAAAATTGTATATAAAGTAAACATTGTGCAAAAGAGTATTCGTAAAACATTTTTTTTTTTATGTCGAATTGCTCTTTTGAATTTGGAAATTAGCAGCAAAGGTAGATGTTACGGGGAATAAAGGAAAAAAAGAAACTTTTACAGCCATATATATCATATTCTTATAAAATAAGTTAAATCTAGTGTAAAATTGTACAGATCCCTCCTGGTTCCACAACAAAGGATTCATCGTTAGCAACGCTACAGCATTTTCCATGTTGGAGGTAAACTCTGTCAATGGAAGACCAGGTCGGGTTTCTATCCTTAAGGTGCCCTTCTCTATTATTGAAACGTTTGCTGTAGACCCCGAATCGGATCTTATCTATTTTGTGGACAGTGTTGGTAACATGTTAAAGGAATTGAACATCATCACTCGACAAATTAAAACATTAGCTTCTATTGAAAATGCCACAGGTAATATATTATTTAATCAATATTGTACATTATCATATTCATGTATTTTCTCAGTAATTCGAGTTGGCATGTCTTTTCCTTATTGAAGCAGTTTATTCTAACAAAAGTGTACTATATTTATATAATAGTGTTGTGTTTTGCATGTACTAAATAGAAGTCAGGGTTTGACACATGTTGCACGGGCCGAAGGCGAGTGCACTATTTGACAAACCCTGACTACTACATGTATATATTTATCGCATAGTGTTCTAAGGATTTATATAGCGTAAGCATACTATGCCGAAATAGTGCACGGCTTCTTTTTTTGAAGAAAATCCACAGCGCCCACACCGGGGATATAACAACCCCAAGATTGTCAGTCCAACGTGCTACGTACCAATTTAGCTACGGAAACCGTTCTCTATTACTGTGTATTTTAATATATATATATAAATTTGTTTCACATATTTGATACTTAAAGAAAAAATAAACAAAATTAATTTTCTTAAATAGTTTCTTGCAACATTTTTACCTTCACTCAACTAAAATTCTCTCTGTACATTATACCTTGAACACTCAAAATTAAGAAAAAAAAGATTATGACGTATAATGTAATACAATTTGATGTCATAATAGGGTGTAGTGAACATGCATGATAACAGGTAATGAAACATTGGAAATGGAGAAAAAATTGTCGTTATCTACAACAGTCAACATAATAATAACAATAAAGTTGTGCTTTGCATGCACTATGCCTTAATAGTAGTTAAGGTTTGAGACATAGTGCACTCGCCTCCGGGTCGTGCACCATGTGTCAAACCCTGACTACTAGCGCGCTTCATGAAATATGCCTACGTGACAAGTCTGTGTGATTTACGCACCAATAACTCACACAAAACTTAAAAACATTCCTTAAATAGATTAGTGTTATATAAAAGAAAACATTTAAGGGATATTTTTAAGTTTTGTGTGAGTTATTGCTGTGTAAATCACACAGACTTGTCACGTAGGCATATTTCATGAAGCGCGCTAGCGTTTTTAAGTTTTGTGTTTAAAACATGCAAAGGCGGATCCAGGGCAGGTGCGCCGGGCGCACGCCCCCCCCCCCCCCCATTTCAATTTTTTGTATGTGGAACTTATGTGTCCATTATCCTAAAATCAAGGAAAAAACATCTCTTATTTGTAAGAATTCGTCAGGCTTTGCCCTAGACCCACTGGGGGGCTTCAATGCAGCCCCCAGACCGTTCTGCCTTCTGCAATTTAAAAATAGAAAAAAATAAATATGACCATCTGAATTTGGTAAATACTTCTGATTTGCTATATCAAAACTTTGATACAAACTTTGCTTCTTTGATTAACCATAGAACATTATAATTTATTATGGAAAACTATAATTTGCCGGTATTGAGATTATCCTTAGATTTATTTAGTAGGTCCCTTGCAACAAACCAACTTTTTTTCAAGAATCATTAAAATATTTGCTAGATCTCTGTTTATACATAAGTAAAATGAATAGTGTCATGAAAGATGTTTTAAAAATCAGGTACACATTTTCATAGCTCTTACTAAAAAATGAGAACTCTTTCTTATCACAAGGATATCCTCTCCTCAGCCAGGAACAATAAGTCTTATAATTATTATTTAAAGGCACAAGCTATAAACTCCCCCCCCCCCCGGCCCAACATGAAAATAAACACTAGATCTTTGTTTATATAAGTCAAATAAATAAATTTAACCACTTGAAGTTTAATCTTTCTTCAAGAAAAAAAATGTAAAGGTTTATAAGGGAAATGGCAGAAACATAGAATTTTGAACATCTTATAAAATTTACAATTCCTCGATATTTTAGAAATTTTATATTTGTGTCATTTACAACCAAAATGAATTAGAAAAAAATCATACTAATCCATGCATCCCTTTTTTTCGTAGCAAGTGTCCTTAAGGTCGGGAAAGACATATTTAAGTCATAATTTAGAATCAACATATTATTGGAAATTGCTTTGTCAAAATAAATGTGATAAGCTTCAAGACACATAAATGCATCTTTTTTCTTCAGAATACATAAAATCCCTGATCCAATATAGTGAAGTTCGTAGCTCGGCAATTAACCAGTATTCACAAAGTAAAATTTTATGTAGATCTGAATTTTGACTGGATTGCTAATCTTCTTGAATGGATAGAACCTGCGCAATCTACAATACGAGCATTTTCTATTAACTCTGGAACGACTTCAGTAATATATTCAGGACTTCAACAACCAACATCACTCACAGTGGACTCACATAATGGGTGTGTAATACGCACATTTTAATAAGTCTTTTCTTTGAAAATAATGGATGGATTATTGAAAAAAATCTAATACGTGATAAATTCAATATCATACAAAAACCTTGCTAACAATTCTTTAATTTAGTAAATGAACAAGACAATATCTAAAATAGTACTAAATGAATTTCAAACGACTTACAGAATACACCACAAGCGAAGATCTTGGTAAAATAACAGTATTCTAGATTTCAAAAATAAAATCCGGATCAGTGAAGGGAAAATTTGTTATAATCTTTTTTAAGTATTTCATGAGTTGAATTTTCTATTTCAGATACCTGTTTTGGCTTTCTGGAAGAACACAAATATCAATAATGCGAGGAACGTTAAGTAGAGGTCTGGCAGAAACTATCGTAACGTCAGCAAATCTACACCACCCAAGCTCTCTTTATTACGACGTTACAAGCAACAGGTATATTAGAATAATTTTACAAAAAGCTCAAGATTTTATTTTCTATTTAATTTGAAATTAAGTGCATGCATTAAAGATTTATTTATGTGCAATAGCAAAATATCACTTCAATTTGCAATAGGAGGACAAATAGTGGGAAAGGGGGTTGTTAAACTGTGAACCATATTCTGAATACTATTTGACCATTGATCTAACTCATTACTTATTTCTTTGACGTTTGAATTGTAACATTGTAAATGAACGTTCTAAGATCCTTCCTTTTAAGACTCAAAATGTACACAGCTTTTCATGTTTCAGGATATACTGGGTAGACAGATCAATAATTAAAAGCTGCATGACAAATGGATCTGATATTAAAAGCCATGTCATCACGCTAGGTGCAACACAGGCTTTCGCATATAAGGTTAAATCATTAATACTTAATACATTTACTAAAATGTTTTATAAATTGTATATATCTAGTAGAATGCGGGCTTTGTATCATTGTAATGGCCCTGTTCCAAATTTCACCATGATTTTTTGACCTTGAAGTTTGACCTACTTTTCTAAAATTTTAAAATTGGTTATAACTTTAGAATGAGAGAAGATAGGACATTCCTATTTGACTTGTACATTACCTATGACAAGGTTTTTTCCGAACATGCTAAGTTTTTTGTCCTCATGACCTTGTCCTTTAAGTTTGATCTGATTTTCGAAAATTTTAACATTGGTGATAACTTTTGAATGACAGAAGAAAGGAAGTTCATATTTGACAAGTGCATCACCTGTGACAAGAAGTTTCCGAAGGAGCTTTGATATTTGACCCTGTGACCCTGAACTTCAAGTTTGACATACTTTTCGAAAGTTTTATCAATTTTGCTAACTTTTGAGGGAGAAAATTCATATTTGCATGAACATTACCTGTGAGAAGAAAATGCACTATAACTTTTAACCATATGACCTTGACCTTAAAGTTTGACCTAACTTTCAACAATTTTTACATTTCTGATAGCTTTTGAGTGGCAGAAGGTAGGACATTTATATTTGACATGTGCATTACCTGTTTCAAGATCTTTTCGACATTTTTTGGACCTCGTGACCTCGACCTTTAAGTTTAACCCACAGTCTTTTTAAATTTTTTTTTTACATTGGTAAGCTTTTTTGAATGAGATATTTTACATGTACATTAGATATGACAACACCTTTCAGAAAGCTTACGCTAACACGGGATATGTAAATTTTTCTGCAATATCTGCAACATTAATTTCCATATTAACAATCAAAGAAAGCATTTTTTGATTAAATTTACGTCTGTATAAATAATCGTTTAAAGTAGGATTGAGTGTCATTGAACTACTGCTCAATAAATCGATACAGGTGGCTTGCTTAGCTCGGTGTTTTCGACCGTGGCCTTTCATTAGAAATAAGGAGATGATATTCAGTGGATGTAAATATAAGTGAAAAAGGGCTCAAAGCCATCTAAAATGTTTTTGTGTTAGTCTGAAGTTCTTTTGTTTGTTTGTCTAAAGTCTGAGTTTTTTGTTGGTTATGACGTCGAAGTTGGTTATGACGATATGTAATGTAATCATTTTAAGTTATACGTAACTACTTAGTCATTAGCATATTTGTAGCAAAAACATATATCAAAATAATTTCTTATTTAACCAAAAAATAATCTTTTTGTAGGATTTCTTTGGTTGGATCAATGCAGATAAGATATTCTTTACAAGGAAGTCATCCATTTCTCGAGAGACTGTGCTGAATATTGTACAAAACGCAAAACATGTTTCCATATTTGATTCTTCTCTGCAGCAGGATAGAAGAGGCAAGTTCTTTTTAATCAGAGGTAGTTTAAAAGGTAGCCCTCATACATTTGTTGCTTTCTTTAGATGAAATAAATATCTATCCGTCAATTTTACATCTCTGGTACAAATTTTATGGCAAAGAAAGGTGACTACTTAAATAATAAGCAAATAATGTACAAACCAACCTTTTGATTTAAAGAGCATAATTAAATTTTTAATGATACAGCAAGTAGGAAAAAACTATCTGCTTTGAAAAAATGCTTCATGTTATCTTCAAATAAAGCTATTTTAGTAACACCATTATCTTTATATTTCACAATTGATTAACTAGTCAAGTAATAAGATATGCTGACAACACGAAGAATTATGGACTTTCATTGAAAGGAAGCAAAAATATGTGTGATATGTTTGTGTGTGTGTGTGTGTGTGTGAGGGAGAGAGAGAGAGAGAGAGTTATCATTTGATTATCCTTTCTTTTAAAGATTTTTATAAACTATTTTGTATAACATGTAGGTGGCTGTCACATACTGAATGGTGGCTGTGAGGATATTTGTGTTCCTTCAGAAAATGGTCGAAAATGTGAATGTGATATTGGACTACAACTACAATCAGATTTAAAAACGTGTGATAGCAGTGAGTCTTTTTTCTTTCTGTCACCAGTCAGATATGATCCAGTTCTATATATTCTTGTAAGAAGCCGTATGTTATTTCCTAATAAAATCGATCAGAAAAATGGCCGCAGTAACAAGTGGCAATGACCTTCAAATATGACACGAGTAATCCATCAAGGATCTGGAAAGGTTTTTTTTCCAGAATGGTTTTCAGGTCCTAAGATGCACTGACTCTAGACTATTTGAGTAAGGGCTCTGAAATACAGAAAAATATATAGCAGAAAAGGTCAAACCATCAAAATGTACATAAATGATAAAAAATATTCTAATAACAAACCAACATCATGCATCAAGGGAAAGTGGGGGAGAATTATAGAATTTTTTCATGAAATCAAAGCATGCTATGAAAGCAAATGTACCGCAAACCCTGTGTTGAACCCTAGCCTTTTTCTATGCCCCCGTAATCCAAGATAGTTTTTGGTCTGTCCGCCTCCCTCTTTCTCTCTGTCTATTTGTCTATTTGTCAGTCCGCAGAAACATTAAATAACATTGCCCATAACCTTTCACTGGTAGGAGCCAGGGCTTTCATTGGGTACCAACATACTCGTCCTATTACCTATGACCCTTGACTTTGACCCATCTTTACCAAATTTTCTCAAATTTTAACACTGCTTTATGTTTTAAACGGATGGTGCTAGGGCTTTCATACTTTCATACTTCACATATGTATTTCTTGTAATAAGACTTTGCCTTTTTTTAAGATTTTGATCTTGATGTTCGGTCTACCTTCGAAAACCTTCAACCTTAGCCATAACTTTTGAATGATTGATGTTAGGGCTTTCATATTTCACATATGTACTTCTAGTGACAGGACCTTCCTTTTGATACCAACATTTGTGACGTTTTGAACGTGATCTTGGAGTTTGACCTATTTTTGAAAATTTTAATCTTGGCAATTTCTTTGAACAGTTGGTGCTAAGTCTTTCATATTTCACATGTTTATTTCTTTTGACAAGACCTTCCGTTGGGTACCACCATTTGTGACCTTTGGACCTTTAAGTTTGATCTACTTTTTTAAAAAAAATAACCTTGGCCATAACTTTTGCTTCTTTCACATCTGTATTTTTTGTGACAAGACTTTCCTTTGGATACCAACATTTTTGATCTCTTGACCTTTCCCCTTGGAGTTTGACTTGATTTGGGATTTTTAACCTTGGTCATAGCTGTCATACGGGGGTATAAGTGTTTTGCAAATATATCTTGTTGTATTTAACCTTGTGAAATGGCGTGATATGAAAATATTTAACAGAGTTCTTTTTTAAAACTGGCTATTAATCTATTTAAAGTTTTACTGAACATTTCAGAGGTTTTGAAATAAACCAGAATGTTATAAATATTTTAATTAAAGCTATATAATAAAACAAAAGAAGACTAGTACATAACGTACCTATGTTTAAAACGTTAAAGCATGTTGTTCCTTTTAAGCTGGCTCGCTTTGTGATCGGGAATTCAGGGTTCATTAGCTTGTTTCCGGCGGCAAACCTCGTATATTTAACAAGGGAAGGTAGCCATCGCCAAGCATCCATCATTAGAAGTAAAAGTCACGAGTGTTTCGGGTATAATCATAAAAATGAAAGTCACGTGTCCCAGTAGGCATTGGCATGTTAAAGAACAACTAATCTTCTTTGCTGGAAATGTAAAAATTCGTTTGCATGACTTATTGTCTTGTTTGTACAGATAAATTGCTTATTTCATCACTACCTCTTTTAGATTTGATCCCAATTTCCACCAGTCATGCAAGATTTTTGTTTTGGTGACTATCTCTTTAGCTGATGTCATATCCTGCTGAGAGTTAAGCTGATCAGCCTAATATTGATATTATTTTATCATGAATCCTTAATGTACAGATACATAGTGCAGTACATGTTTTAATGTATTCAAACTACATGTTAGCGTATATTTTGTCATGTACAAGTTGACACTGTTGAATTGGATTCAGCACTGTGTGCGTTTATGTTCATGCTATTTGCTTGAATTCAGAACTTGATGGAGCAAACTTCAGACTGAGTAATAGCACTAAATATAATTCAACTAAAAAAGGGACATACCTGTTCAGTCAATTACTTTCAAGCAATTTATAGGTAGGTTTATCTATATCTGATCTTTTCTCCTTAAGAAACCCATCTGTTACATAAACACATGCGCACATAAAATCAAAAAACCTAATATTAAGTGCAACTCTATATATGAATAGACCATCGAAATGTCTTATGTCAGGAGATTGAAAACATGGAAATATGATATTTAAGTGATTAATAGTGCCTTTCTGCTTTTCTTTTTAGAAAACTTATAATTTATGTTTATATCTTAGGTGCTTATTCCACAAATTTCCTTCTTGTTTCCGATTATTCCCACGGTCGAATCCTTCAGGTTGACATTAGCACAGGGAATATAGTCAAACTACCAATAATTGTAAAAACTCCTCCAGGAATGACATTTGATAAATTGGGAATGGAACTCATCTACTCCGTTGTCTCCTCGAAAACTATTATGTCGACCACACTTCATGGAATGAACACATCGTTGGTTTATGCGACAGGTATTCTGAATGGATGTTAAATACAATACACTAACACCTGTTCATAAGTCAATGTTTTTGAAAAGTATTCTTTTTTGAAATTGCAAACATTTTCCCAATAACTATAATTTTTGATCGACGTTGCCTTAAATCTTTCATCCAAATGTCTAGGATTCGCTCATGCAGAACGTTTGACCATTGACTATTCAACGGGAAACATTTACTATACTGCAGAAGGTTCTACTCCAAATCAGAGCTATATTGGAGTTGTACACAGAGTCACCTTACACCACAGGACTTTGTTTTCAAACATGCACAGTCCAAGAGATGTTGTGGTATATCCGTCAAAAGGGTTAGTTTATTTCTGCATAATAAATACACATACTGTTGTTGAAAAAAATGATGACCAGATTTGAAATTGCCTCAAAATTGGTTTTTGTAAGAAATAAGGAAAGGAAAGATTCATTGTACAGTCTTCTTATTTTTTTTTTTACCTTTCAGCTTTTTGTACTGGACAGAATTTGGGAATATAACAGAAATTGGTAGATCATATATGGATGGAACGTCAAAAAAGTATATAGCAACAACAGATATTGGATGGCCAAACGGTCTCGCTATAGATTTTATTTGTAAGTACAACTATAGTCAGTAACATTTTCCATATTTTTCAAAACATACTTCAAAGGAGCATAATCTTTTTTTATTTTGTAGCCAACAGACTATACTGGACAGATGGCCTTCGAAATCGCATAGAGTATTCAGATTTAAATGGAGGAAACAGACAAGTTTTAACAACTGATAATGACGCACATCTAATGAGTATTGTGATTCATGGACAATATTTATATTACACTGCGTGGAATAGACAGTAAATTAAATTTTTACAATTTCTGTACAAATAAAAATAATCTATAGGTAAAAAAAAATATCCAGCAATTAGTTTTAACACTTATACCTGTACGTTTTTGATTTGACAATGAAAATGTGCAGACCAACAGTTTCAGTACTTTAAAGAAGTACCCTTTATATTCAGTATCGTGAAGTTTACGTATCATGATGAAAAATGTTTTCTTTACAAAACAGGCGTATAACAAAGATAAATAAAGCAACGGGTTCCAAAGTTACGTTTATGACAAACCATCCAGAGCTTGGTCGACTTGATAGTCTAGATATCTATTCAGGTGATTCAGTGGATGGTAAGTTAGGATTTGAAAATATGAAAGAATAAAGATTTATCTATCAAAAACCTTCTGAGACACTCATTAGATAGTCATATGTCCTTTTAGTTAGTAGAATTTGTTCAAAGAATAACGGAGGATGCAGTACGTTCTGCTTTCCAACACCAACAGGAAGAACATGTGGATGTCAGGATAATGTTAATTTACAAGCAGACCAAAAGACATGTCAAGGAGGTTAACAGTTTATATTTTCTGTACACAAAACATTGAAATTTTATGTACTGCAATATTAGACAATTATGCCTTTCTAGACGTTTTAATTATTTTTGATTAACATTTTCATTGGCAGTATCTCGCTGTGACACTTCTCTACAGAATATAGATTTCCATGACTGTCTTCCATATCCCGGCCAAAATTGTCAGGTTGCATGTAAATCTGGTTATAGGCTTGTTGTCAATGCGTCTGTTACTTGTGATCAATCCGGACATTGGACTCCATCCCCAAGTCCTTCGTGCACCGGTAAATTTGAGCGAATATGTTTGAATTTAAATTAGTTGTTTGTTGAATACAAAAGTCCTCATACAATCAAAGGAAAGTAAAAAAAATGAAATTCAGCAGGAAATATAAATGTTTTCGTAAGCGTTTTTATTTCATATTCCTAAGTTACAATGTAATAAAAAAATTATACATTATAATTGCTGTTCATTTTTTCTGACGAGTTTTTACATTATATATAATTGATGTTCATTTTTTCCTTACGAGTTTAAAGTCTTTATAGAGTGCTTTAAAATCAGCAAATGATGATGATGATGATGATGATAATAATAATAATAATAAAGTAAAATAAAATAGATTAAAGTAAAATAATAATATTAATAATAATAACAATAACATAAATTTCAACATTGCAATTGTTTTAGAAATATTCTGCACAGCTGTTATCGACAATGCCTTGTTATCATCGGAATGCACTCGAAAAGCAGGTGAATCGTGCACATTCTCTTGTAATAATGGATATACCTCAACGACCTCAGGGAGCTTGCTATGTACAAACAACGGTACCTGGAGTCAGGACACCAAGAATTTATGCTTACGTAAGGCTTAAACAGGGAAACATGTATTGTTCTTTGCCAAAAAAAAAAAACAACAACAAACAAACAAAAAAACCAAAACAAAAACAAATAAATAAATAAATAGAAAATTAAAAATTTAAATTTTCGGATCTGTCTATGTAACTGAAATATCAGCACTATGCATATGATTATTTAAAATATTACTCAAATGCTGCAGAATGTTTCACATGAATATTTTTTGAATAAAAATTATTAAAATTTTACTTAATTTAAGAAGTTGTATGCATGCATGTAAACATATTAACCCCCTTGCAACATAATCATACAAATTTTAATTTGACATTCTATTTCGCTAAAGCATTTAATTTATTTAACTTGCACGCCAGATTATTGTTAAGACGTTTAATACATAATCCAGCAACCTTCAACTACAATCTAGTGTCTGTCTGTCAAAAAATCACATGGAAAATGCACTTGAAGTGACATTAAAAGGGAAAATTTTTAACTCTGCTTTGAACCTAGTACCTTTATCAAATGAGCCCAGTACTCTAAAATTCTGAATTTCTTCCCACTACAAAAGCTAAAAAAGTCTTGTGTCTCACATTGTTCAGTTCCAGAAAAAGAGACTTCGTCGTCTCTGATAGAGTCCGAGTACCTGGGGGAGAGGTTCTAGGGGGCAGTCACTTTCACCTGCCAGATAATGCAAAGGTCACAAGGTAGGACCAAAAGTAGAAGAATAATGTGTATGTCTCTCATTGGAATTTAACCCTGAACTTGTCAAGCTAGTTCAGTAATCTACCAATAGAACTTACAAATAACCCATTAAGCAACGTATGTTACACCATCACATCCGACATGTGATGTAAGATATGAATGTGATGAATATTGCATAGCTTGAGTACGGGCTGTGTTCTGGGGTGTAACAGAGTTTAACAGAGATCCTTCATTATTTGTTTTTTTTTACAGGTTCTGGTTGTTCCAAAACGATAAAAAATGGCCATTTTATAAATTGTCAGTCCAAAATCGGAGAAACTTGTAGATATAAATGCAATGGTCTACTCAAGGTCAATCCATCTGTTCCAAATGTTACCTGCTACGAAAGTGGCGATTGGAGCCATGATGCAAATGACTTATGCGGTGAGTTTGTTTTGTAATAGTTTCGATTTAAGAACGAAACAAAGGCAGTATAAAGGTCATATTTAATCTTCGTTAGAAAAATATTAATTTTTGTTTAATACCAATATTTCCAGTAAGATTATGCTCATCATCAATCCAGAATGGAAAACTGGATAAGGGTTGTCAAAGGAAAATTGGGAATGTTTGTCCCTATACGTGTGACCCTAACTATAGGTCTTCCATCTCTTCTTTAAATATTGTTTGTACCTTGGATGGCGCATGGAATGAAAACACTGACGAGATATGCAAACGTAAGATTCATGTTCGATTGAATTACTTTAAACAAATTTGTTCATACATGTAACAAAGCTTACGTTTCGACCAAAAAAAAAAAAAAAAAAAAAAAAAAGAAAAAAAAAAGAATAAATAGAAGTGCTTTAAAAAGTACTAGCTTTTTGTATTCAGAGTGAATTCTTCCACCATAATTAAAATTAAATGTTGATAATATATCTAAATAATCCGAAGTAATATGTTTGCAAATTTTAAACATTAGCAAGTTGACGTTCATGATTTTTATTTTTATAGCTTCTGGATGTTCAAAGACGATACCAAATGGTCAACTTATAAACTGTCAGTCAAATATCCAAGAAACATGTCAATATATATGCTACAGTCCTTTGGAAATAAATCCATCTGTTCCAAATGTCACATGTAACGGAAATGGAAAATGGAGTGATGATACAAATAACCTGTGTGGTGAGTTTGTTAAATTGATAATGCTGATAATTTTTCTTCTGCAGAAGAAATACTAATTTTTATAACATTTTTAGTACATTTATGTCCCTCAACTATCCGGAACGGAAAACTGGATGAAGGCTGCCAACGAAATATTGGGAACATTTGCTCTTACTCTTGCGACATCAACTACAGATCCTCTATGTCTTCTTCAAATATTGTCTGTACATTGGGCGCCACCTGGAACGAAAACACTGACGGATTATGTAAGTGTAGGAAATATTTTCTAGAGTTGCTTTGTTCAAAGTATTATCGTTTACATAATTACTTCTGCTATGAAAAATATTAAATGCTTAAAAAGGTGTCTCTTCCTTGATTCCAGAATATATTTAACCTCTGTAACTGTGTAATGATTAATTTATCTAAAAATGTTAAAAATATACAATGTACTCGAAGCCTGTAAAAAATATTGCATGCAAGTAACAGATATTGCAATGTATAACGCAAGGTCTATATTTTTTCATTATTCTTCGTCTATAGCTTCTGGTTGTTCAAAGACGATACAAAATGGCAAACTTATAACTTGTCAGGCAAACATCCGAGAAACCTGTGGATATGAATGCAGTGGTCTATTCGAAGTGAATTCATTAGCTCAGAATGTTACGTGTAATGAAAATGGAGAATGGAGTCATGACGTAAACGATTTATGTAGTGAGTTCATTTTATTAATAGTTTCAGGCAATTTTACAAAGATACCGAAGAAAGGTCATGTTGTTTTTCTTCGTTAGAAGAAATAATTTTTACAACATTTTCAGTACGAGCATGTCCTTCGACAATCCGAAACGGAAAACTGGATAAAGGTTGTCCACGAAAAATTGGGAATATTTGCTCCTTTTCTTGTGACATAAACTACAGTTCTTCCCTCCATTCTTCACGTATTGTTTGTACATCGAATGGAACTTGGAATGAAAACACTAACAAATTATGCAAGCGTAAGATCTTTTGACATTTACATTATATTGACGTATTTTCTCAATTATTTTTAACAAGCTTTTTAATTTCATGCAGAAATATCGAAAAATTGTTCCAAATACACATTTCTTTATAACTGTGTCCTCACTAGCCGGTTTTCCGATTTTCCCTCATTCGATGGTACATGTTATGAGAATAAAACTTCGATAAATAACGTAGATTGTATGATGCTATATGAAAATGGAAAAAACTCGATCATTTCCATTTGTATTCAGAATAATTTTTTTTAATTGGTATTGTCTTAGAAACTGGTTAGACGGACAATAAAGAAGTAAGTGAAATCATTGTATAATTAATATATTTGTATATGTAGCTCCTGGTTGCCCAAAGACGATAAAGAATGGTAAACTCATTAATTGTTCGTCAAATTCCGGAGAGATATGTGGATATGAATGTATCGATCCTTTTTACATAAATCAACTTGTACCAACTATTACCTGCAACACAGGTGGTGACTGGAGTCATGAGACAAGCAATTTATGCGGTACATGTAATTTTATTTTGGTGAAATATATCACACCAACACATATATTTTAAGTAAAATATAGTCTAGAAAATATTGAATTGCATTTCATCCTCTTTTGAAATCTGTTTAATATTAGTTTATCATTCATTTTCCTTTCTTCTGAAATATGATATATATTAGTTTTTCTTTCTTTTATATGTTTTCGTTTTTGTTTTTATTTTGAAATGTTTCAAAAATTAATACAAGTTTATCTTTTCAGTAAGGCTATGTCCATCAATTATCCCTCATGGAAAACTGGCATCAAATTGCGAAAGACAAATAGGAAACCGTTGTTCATTTATTTGTAACAGTAATTACCAATCATCCATTCCCTCCACAAATATTGTTTGTACTTCAGACAGCACCTGGAATGAAAATATCGATAAAATATGCAAAAGTGAGAAAAATGATTTGACGTACAAAATTTTTAACATCTCCTGGATAAAGTTTTAAAATCCATTTTTTATGCACCCGTAATCGAAGATTCGGGGACATACAGTTTTGCCTCTGTCCGTCTCTCTTTTTGTCTGCCAGCATATTTGACCTCTTGACCTTTGAGTTTGACCCAATTTTGAAAAAAAAAAAATTGCCAAATTTTACCATTTGCCTAAACTTTTGAACGATTAGTACTAGGGCCTTCATACTTAACGTGTATTTCCTTGGGTACAAGTATTTTTGACCTTTTGACCTTAGAATCTGATTTACTTTAGAAAAAACATTAAGCTTGGCCACTCATTCGAGCGATTGGTGCTATAGCTTTCATATTTTACAGGTGTATTCCTTGTGACAAACCTTCCCTTGGATACAAACATTTTTTAACCTTTGACATTGACCTTTTGGGTTACTAATATGTTTGATCTCTTGACCTTGAAGTTTGACTTGCATTTGAAAAACTTCAACCTTGACCAAGAGCTGCCATGCGGGGAATCAGTGTTTCACAACCACATCTTGTTTTCAATTTTCATTATCATCTAGATGTATCTGAAGCTAAACATGAATACTCAAAATAAATAAGAATTTCATTACAGAAACAAGTTTCCTAATCTTTTTTTTTTTGACAGGAATATTGGACCTCTTGACCTTTGAGTTTCACCCACCTTTGCAAACTTTTACCAAACTTCTACCTTGGCTTTAACTTTTGAACGGTTAGTGCTAGGGCTTTAATACTTAAAATGGTGCAAGTATTTTTGACCTTTTGAACTTGGAGTTTGATCCACTTTTGAAAAACTTTAACCTTGGCCATAACTTTTGAACAGTTGGTGCTATGGCTTTCTTATTTCACATGTATATTTCTTGTGACAAGACCTTCCCTTGGGTACCAATACTTTTTAACCTTTGACATTGACCTTGGAGTTTGATCGACTTATGAAGAAGTTTATCCGTGGCTATAACTTTTGAACGGTTTGTGCTTGGCCTTTTCGTATTTCACAGGTGTACATCTTGTGACAAGACCTTTTTTGGGTACCATCATTTTTTTTTATCTCTTCACCTGGAAGATTGACTTGTAATTGAGAAATTTCAACCTTGGACATGAGCTGCCATACGGGTGCATCAGTCTTGTTTACAATTTTCAACACAATCTACATGTTACTTAAGCAAAACATGAGTATTCAGAATACAAAAGAATTTAACTGCAGAAATAACTTTTCAAATCTATTTTTGTGACAGGAATAACGTGTCCGCTTCAAATACCAGATGGTTTTGTGTCCTCGCAATGTAATGGAAATATCGGTGAAATATGTGAGGTTGTTTGCCGAAATGAATCTAATGCAACCTCTCTTCAGTTAATATGCACATCACTTGGATCCTGGAACAAAGATATAAACAACATATGTACACAATTTACTCGTATGTACATTTATAATAACTAATGGTTTCAACTGTTCAAAAGTATGTTAAATGAAGTTTTCATTTGGTTTGAAATCTTTGTTTCTCATTAAAATATAGAAACAGTTCTATCAATTAATGGATGGATATTGAAAAATGTCTTCAGATATGTAATATTTTTTACCACTTTAGACATAATATTGTGATTGTTTGAAATAATGTTATTCTTTTTCTCTCTTTCTACCTATATTTTAAAAAATGATCGATAATATTCACTGAAAATCTTATTCATTTGTATTGTTTGTAGATTTTTGACATCGATCACTGTTCGTTATCTTCACCTTTTCCATGAAAAATATTTGGTGTCACACAAAGAACTTTTATTTATGACTTAAAATGAAAATAAAAATTGTTAACTTTAATGAATTTATTTTAATTCTCTTTTAAAGGAAACATTTCCTCACACCATGTAACTGAAGACAGCTTTGATACATATGTCTTTATTGGAGCATCGATTGCAGGCCTGATTGTCATTGGTATTGTTGCGACTGTTTGTTTCCTGAAGAAAAGAAATTCATATGGGTATTTAATTTGAAACTTTGATATGTGCATTGCAATATTTATCATTAAATCTTACATGATTTAAACGAAGTACTTGTTAAAAAGTATTCTAAAATAAGTTATTATGTATATTCATACATAGCATTTTGAGCTATTCCTACTGACATTCATGTGTTGTACCAAGTCTCCTATTTTACTTTTTACAAAAATATTCACAGCAGTGAAGGAGAAACTTTTAGAGTACTGAACAACAACATATTCGAAACATTGTGTTAATCAAATGTGGATACTTAAAAACTAAGTCGAATGTGGACTGCTGTCTAATTTCACAGTCCTAGAAATCTGCAGATCTTTTCACAAACAATTTACGAGAAATTTCCATCGTACGAGAAATCTTACAGTTTTTTTCCTTTTCATCAATGAAATCTTGCAAGATTCTGATGTGTTAAATTTGTCGTAACTTTACGAGAGCCTTAACCCCCTCGTAAGTATTTAAAACCGATTTTATTGTAAAAATATAACCGAAAAAAAAAAAAAACAAAAACAAAATACACGTTTCATTAAACTTTTTACTCAACCTACGATAGTATTTTATATTTTTTTCACAATTATCGTCGAAGAATTAAATGAAATATACTACAAAATATTATATTATGGCATGTAGTTTCACTTAATATTTTCGTATAACCTACTTCTACGTTAGTCTCGTGTCTGTGACGTCAGATTTCAAACGTTCTTGCTTCACAATCGATTGCACGGTAGCTCAGTCGGAAGAGCGTTCGCTCCGTGATTGGAAGGTCGTATTCGAATAACGGCCGGGACTGGCCTAAGTCGATTAAAAATAGGTAGCAATTGTTCCTTTGCCAAACGCTCGGCACTTTGAAGTGAAAGTTATAGGTCTTCGAATGAGATCTTAAAACCGAGGCCCCGCGTCAAGTCAGGTTGGCACGATAATGATCCCTCACTGCTCAATTGCCCTCAATGCCGAGTAAAGGACTAAAGAAGCCCTTCACCGGTATATGGTGACGTCTCTATATGAGTGAAAAATTTTCGAACGGGACGTAAAACAACATACAGTCAATCAATCACAATCGATTGCATAGTGTTTGGTTTACTTACAAGTGTTGAAAACTTCGCTTCATTTTTATTCTCATTCACTTCTTAAGAATTATAAATCATATTGAGATCGTTGCTAGGAACGAAGTCTGTCGTAAGTAAAATCTCTAGTTTAATCTGCTACGAATGTGTTCGTGAAAGTACTTAAGATTTGTCGTAAGAGATACTTCATGTGAAATCTTACCCCAGAACGTAAGATTTTTTGTGAAAAGGGCTACTGATTTTAAGCTAAAACTAGCCAAGAAGTACTCACCATGGAAAAAAATGTAATGGGTTAAACCCTTTTTTAAAAACTGATGATTTCCTTTGTTTCATTTTTTAGGATAAAATTTCCTTTACTTTTTTATTTTTGTAGGAATCGTTACGGAAGATCAACAGTGCAGGAAGAAAACAATTATTTGACAATTAGTAACCAAGGATATTTAACCGAAAACGATAGCGCTGAGAGACAATTATCTGCTGAATACTTCACTATTAATGATCAATTCGCCTCAGAACAGGAACAATCACCTAAACAAATGTATCTGAATCCTGTGTATAATCTCTAAATGGCACACACGCACGCAGAGTTTGATATAGCCAGACGACATATATAGAATATATCATTGTCATAGTATATTCATATTGTGTCTAATGGAGCATGGATTAACAAAAGATTATTGTTGTTAGTAAAAATATGAAAATTGCTTCCTAGACAATAGTGAAGGGTGTCAGTGACGTATTTGTGTCATTTCAGTCATTAATGCACAATTATATCGTATACCCAGATTAAAGCAAAAGAATTCCTCGATTAAAATATATTTCATAATTCATATAGTATTTCAGTGTTATGTGGTATACATTTATGATCTTTACATAAAAATTAGGAATTTTTGAGAGAATTCTGTTAAATGAAAAAGTATTTTAAACAGAATTCTTTAAATCGGACTCCCCTGTTACATGAGTCTCGAAAAGTTCTCGAATATTTTTTGTCGCCTGCGTTTCGTATTGATTAGACCGTCCTCTCTAGAGCCGCGGAGTAAGGAGCTGATCCTTACGTCTCGGGTTCGAATCCAGTGTGGGACCTGGAGACCGGTCTTTCGGATGAGACCGTATAAACCGAGGTCCCGTGTCGCAGTATAGGTGTTGGCATAAAAAAGATCCCTTACTGCTCAATGGACCTGAGTGCCCAGTATAGGTATAATTTGAAGCCATCCACCGGCAAGTTGTGGCTTCTCCATATGGGTGAAATATTCTCTAGAGGGCATTAAACAACAAAACAAACATTTAAAAAAAATTGCATTTATATTGTAACATTGACATTGCATATTACTAAATATGCTTAAAGAGAGTAATAAAATAATTTCTGTTTTATTTGCAGTGGGTGTCGGATAAATGGCTTTAATCATATACAATTAATTACGCGGCCTCGGTCAGGTCAGGTCACCTCGTGGGCCAGGTCTCGGGTCCTTATTTCACCATGTTGACCTCATAAGGGGTAATCAATTGTATTATTATACCGATATAGATAAGACAATTTTTGTAGGCTTAACTACTAAAATAACCAATTGTGTATTAGACCTACGAACTATTATTATCAGTGTTTCATCGGGATCGGAATTCGCTAGTGAAGTTGTTTACTTTTCGCCTGAAAGTCTTGTTAGTTTTTGCACCGCCGATTTATTAAAACACTCTGTGATTGTCAGTAACATGCATTTTTATAATCACAAATACCGATTCCGAGTACAATGACAATCTGGTGCAGACTTTTACTGTACAAAAGAGCCAAGTTTGCATTCGTTGAATTTGACATTGTAACGAAAGTTTCAATGAAAACGATAAATTTTATGACGCATATGAAGGACAATCGTATTCCATCTCATAAAAAGACAATACATATTTTTATAACGGCATTTTTGTAATGAACAGTCATTACTGTATGCATTAATTTTTAAATTTGAATGGAATTTAGATTAACAGGTCATTTTTAGCGGTCATTATTTATAATGACCGGGTCATTAAACCCCACGTGCAATGATTTCTAGGTCATTATTGCTGTAAATGGTACTTTTTGGAGTCATTATTGAGCTTAAAAGCCTTTTAACAAGCCAATCAAATTTGAGTATTCTTAATAGAGGTATAATAATGTAAAATAATGTTGTTGTTTTTAGCTCTACTGGTCAGAGACCAGAAGAGCTTATGCGATAGTAATGTGTCCGTCGTCCGTCCGTCTGTCTGTCTGTCTGTCCGTCTGTAAACAATTTTTCAAAATGCTACTCCTCCTACAGTTTTGATCTGATTTCAGTATAACTTTGCACAGAAGTAGACTACACTAAGATACATAATTCTGTGTATCGGTTTTTGATTTCGATGAACGGTGTTGCCATGGTTGCTAAAAATAGAAATTTCTGTGAAAAACATTCAAAATGCTACTCCTCCTACAGTTTTGATCTGATTTCAATATAACTTGGCACACAAATAGACTACACTAAGATACATAATTCTGTGTATCAGTTTTTGATTTCGAGGAACATTGTTGCCTTGGTTACTAAAAATAGAAATTTCCTTGAAATACCTTCAAAATGCTACCCCTACAGTTTTGGTCTGATTTTAGTATTACTTAGCATACAAGTAAACTACACTAAGATTCATAATTCTCTGTACCAGTTTCTGATTTCGATGAACAGTGTTGCCATGGTTACTAAAAATAGAAATCTTGAAATACTTTCAAAACGCTACTCCTCCTACACTTTTTGTCTGATTTCAGTATAATGTAGCATACAAGTAGACTACAGAGATACATAATTGGTGTTATTGTTTTTTGACTTTGTTGAATGATGTTGCCATGGTTACTTAAATCAAAATTTCAGTAAAATTGTTTTAAAAGGCTACTCCTCCTACAGTTTTAGTCTGGTATAATAATAAATCTTGCCAAAAAGAGACTAAACCAAGGATCATTATTCTATTTATTGCTGTTGCAAAGTTTCAAGTCCAAGTGCTACTTTTATCTTCCTTTATAAATACAACCAGTAGAGCTACAGTCTCATCAGAGACTTCTGGTTTCAAACGGACCTACTCCTCTGAGGAAACCTATCAGATGTAACATCCAAAGTGCTGAAATGGAATATAGACATAAATTTGCAGAGTGTATTAAAGGAGAACGTCTCAGATTTGAAGGGTTAAGTGTCTATTCCGAAAATAGCCCAAGCAATTAAGTCGACGTCTAATATCGTTAGGTTGAAGAAAAAGTATCATATCAATTGAAAGTATTTATAAAGAATGAAATAAACATATGATTGTATATTTTTAAATTGCCCCACTTTGCAATATAAATATGTTACTGCATTTATCATACTTATTTAACAATATAATTATCATTGGCTTCTTTGTGCATGTAAAATTTACTGTAATTTTTGACAGAATTTTACTGTATTGATAAAAATAAGAGAACGTATTAATTTTACATTTAATCTTACTCACGGCATGAATTCAGCGTCTTGGTGCAAAGAGTCAGAGAAAAAGGAAGACTGTCTTTATTATTGATTTATGAATCCAAATAGAAACACTAGACGGCTACTTAATAATTTACTTTAAAAGACAAACTTTTCGTATGAATAAATGAACATGTAAAAAAAAAGTTTTGATATTCTATTTATGAATCTATATGTAAATTAAGCACTTAGATATTTCCTCATTTTCTTACCTATAAAAGAAAAAGATTACACAAATTTTTGATCTTTGATAAACTTCAATCTTCTTGTGGATATAAAAACACTACTTTTATTGTATAGATGAATGCATGACATAAAACATTATATTACATATTTTCTGGTTTTGCATGATGTGTATAAGGAGCCTATAAACAAAACTTCCCCCTTTCTAACGCAAAGGCTTGCCCAACTTCTTGTTAACTTTAACGGTTGTAGGCATTAGAGTTTCATGTGTTTGTTCTTCCTTAAAAGATGTTTATTTCACAAGTCATAGCATTCTTGGCAATACTAACAACTGAAGGATATTCCTGTTTCGGTAAGTTTATAAGATTTCTTACATCGCATTTAAGTATTGAGCATATGTTTTGTAAATGTTTTTCTTGTTTATTTCATTTTTTTTTTATTTGTTTCCTTTTTCATTTGATTTTTTTCCGTTTGCCTTTCGGAAATGTATTTGCTTTCATGATTTATTTTATAATTTATGAATAAAGTACATGTAAGCAGGTGGAAACTATAGGGCTTGAGCATTAACAATTAAAATTGTACGCACAGCGGTACGTAATGTTAGTTCACCTTTTGTTTAAGATATAATCAGGAAAAGTTTATGTTTACATTTTGGTTAACTGACTAATATTTCAAAGTTGGCAATTTCAAGTCAAATGTTCCATTTTAGCATGACGATTTAAAAAAAACACAACAAATTTTGTTTTTCCAAATAATTCATGGCCAATTCTGAGCGGCTAATACGATTTCTAAAATCTGACATTGAGAACTTGACAATAAAGTCAATTTAAATAAAATCAACCCACAACTCACAAAAATAAGCAAAAACATTTGTTAGATTCTGCGACTTTCACCTGAACATACAATTTAAACCATGAATTTCTAAAAAAAAATGAACTATTATTTAAAACTAAAGAGTCAAAGTTATAAAAAAAAAAACAAAACCCAATGCCCTTAACAATAATGAAAGATGAAAAATTCCTGTTCTGATTTCAGACCTTTGAAAGAGATTGATCAGTGTTGATACTGATTTTTCAATAATAGAGAACAAGTTGTGTTTGTGAAACACCGATGCCCCCGTGTGACAGCTCATTGTCAAGGTTAGGATTAGTTTTTTTTAAAACGTAGGTCAAATTCCAAGGTCATTAGGTCAAAAATGTTATTACGCAGAGAAAGGTCTTGTAACAGGGAATAAGCGTGTGAATATAAAAGTCCAAGCACCAACAGTTCAAAAGTTACGACCAAATGAAATTTTTTTTCAAAAGAAGTTCAAAATCCAATTAAGGTTAAAACCAAGAGAACCGAATGTTAGTACCCACAGGAAAGTCTTTGCAAGTAATTAGAGGGGCATTTGAAAAGTTCTGAGAACTGTTTGATAAAACATTAACTGTTCAATGGAAATGACTGAGTTTGATATCACTGGACAGATCACAAAAATATATATATATTGTGACGTCTTTGTAATTTTTATTATGTAATAACTCCGAAAATGACGTCAGAATTCGAATGTCTAGCATACTGACCAAAAAATGACGTAACAAGAGGCACAATTTTAATGAAGTAAAATTTTTATGTGAACGTTTGTTCATTACTCGGATGAACTCTAACGGACACAACTACCAGTTGGAAGGATATTTACATAGACTACAGTCTAATATTTACATTCAATATGTATTTTGCTTATAAAGCATGAGGAAAGCTACGGCATTCAAAACACCATAACATGGACAGGGGTTCAAAAGGTTAACGTGTGCGTTTTATTTTGACGTCACAAACGTTTAACGCCGTGGAAGTGCAGCGTCATAAACGAAAATCAAATTTCACGCTCAGGTTGAACAGAAAGTGTTGCAATGGCTCTTCCATTAAATGTTACCTAACCAAAGGATAATACAGGGATTTTGAAATAAAAAACACCTTTGCAATCAAGGCAAGGAGTTAAAAAATATAAATATAAGCATTGAATCATTATTTTTTGAAAGATATAGTCTCATAACTGCAACGATGTGTGCACACAAATTATCATAACGCGCTAACGCGCGTTACTCAATTTGTTTACACACCGTTGCAGTTATGAGACTATATCTTTCAAAAAATAATGATTCAATGTTTAATTATATGGAGGTTATATTCAGGAGCTCCTTTAGTTCTGAGGTGGTTTATGTAGTGTGTCAAACATAGCATCCTATTATCGAATCTCGCGCAAAATATTGGGTAAAAAAGACGCTGCTCTGAAAACCCCCCACAAAGTTTACAATCACAAGAGAACAGTGGACGGTGTTACAGAATTTGCTGGCATTAATTTTAACCAATTTTGCGGGAACGATTAAAGCTCAAGAGAGGTTAAGCTAAGGATGTCCCATATTTTCTCGTAAAAACCAAAATCGCGCCAGTGTATTTCTAACCCCACCGTAACTTGATATGTTCGAAAATTTAAAAACATGGAAAATAAATAATAGATAAATAATAATAATAATAAATAAATAGTGAGTTTTGGATTGTCGTAGTTGAAATAATATGAAAAAGTACGCGCAGAAACTGGTTCGGGGGGAAGACGTTTGTAAGGGTAAGAGTCCTGATACTCAAGATACAAGAACATTAAGAACAAAACTGCATTATTACACTTCAGTTTTATACAGAATATGTTTTAATACACTGGAGAACTATATAATAGACCAAAAATCCAGCTATATCATATAAATAAAATCTTTTATGAAGATTTTATGAGGATAACATTGCTGTGCTTATAAACCAAGCAAAAAAAAAAAAAAAAAAAAAAAAAAAAAAAAAAAAAAATATGGAATTGCTGATTTACCGAATCATTCTTATTGTCATACTCTACTTCCATGCAAATTCTCTTTGAAATATATCTTTTCAAAGACGCCTTTGACAGCACTTTTTCGATGTTCTCATGTGGACAAAAAACGCTACTTACCAGTATGCTACACATTAGAGATAGCTTTTTTAGAGTTATTTCGTCATAAGAAAATGACGTTCATATAAGTGCAAATTTTCCAGCTCTTTTCAATGGTATCAAACTTGTTCACTTCTGTGAAATGGTTCATATTTTAGCAAGCAGTTCTTAGAACTTTTCAAATGCCCCTCGTACATAGATAAAATATGAAAGCTCTAGTACAACTGTTCGAAAGCTATTGTCAAGATTAAAGTTCTAGTATCTGCAAACGTGAAGAAAGGAGACAGAAAGACAGAAAGACGGACCCACGAAAATTCCCCTAGATTCAGAGTAGCGGGCTATAAATTGAACACAAATTAGGTTAAAATTTGTTGCGATCGAAACAATGTGCATGAAAATTATATACACTACACTTTAAATAAGAAAGTGGAACTCTCTTCCAATTTTGTCTTAATTTTTCATTTATGTAGAACACATAGATCTCCAAGAAGGTTTATCAAACGATTAAATCGAAACTAAAATCTTTACGTAGAAGTCAAATTATACTCTCTTTAAAGGAAAAATGTCTGAAATGTATAATTTTAAAGTTTGTCAATTCAATTTTTGTACTTGACTGTCAACTAGCAGATCCAGTATATTCATAACTCAACGCAAACGTAATATTACAGGTATCCCTGCTAAAAGGGGACTCATTATTGGAATGTGGAATCCTGCTTCGCTGGTCACCATCACAGATATACCCAGATATCAAACAGAATATTATGATAATCGCACAATATATTTGAAACCTCCAAATATTCAAGTTTATAGTATTACGTCTGATGAAAAAAATAAAGTAGTTTTTTTTGCTATTCACCACCATATTTTTGCGTTACATAACTTTACTATTCCGCCAAAAAAATCAACATCTCTTGAATCAGTTACAGTTGCTTACAAAGGAAAATCTGCAGCTCTTGGACAAATTGCCTTTGACTTTGTTTCCAATAATCTGTACTGGTGTGACTCGCTTTTAAAATGGATAGGCATGAAACCAGCATACGACCATAATAATACTACATATAAAATTGTCGTTCAAGATGATTTATTTCAGCCGGAAGGATTGACACTAGATCCCGAAGATGGGTAAGATAAATAATATCTTTAAATTGCAACACATTAAGATATACAACTAAAATTCACGTAAATGCATCATATGCGCAAAACTATCCAAGACTTAAATGCATGTAAAACTTGCAGCATAGAGTATTCTGTGGATAAAATCGTTTATTTCCATTTTATATATGAAATATCAAATTCTACTTCTTGAGTATAGGAAAAATTTCGTTTCCTATATATATATATATATATATATATATATATATATATATATATATATATATATAGTTATACAAGAGGCGTGTTATGGGATATTTGGCGTATCTCAGACTCACGTTGTGGGATCCTTAGGTGGTTTATGGGTCATCTATATTTTGACCCATAAACCATGTACTCTAAACTTCACAGAAATGTTGGAAATGCTATTCCTACCATAAAAAACAAAAAAAATAATTTTTTTGACCCATAAGGATATATAGAAAAATGTCCCACAACGCAAAATCTATTTTTAGAACAGTCGGTCTAAGTCCCTCGCTTTCAACATTTTGTGTATCTATAAATGTCAATTGGAATATCCCACAATACGGTGTAGCGATACACGCAATGCATTGTGGGAGGACAATGGCGGCGTTTAGCAGGGGTAAAGAGCTGTAAGACAGTAAGTATCTTGTTATTATTAGTAGAGCAATTGAATATAACACATATTTATGATAATTAGACGAGAGAACGAGGAACTTTCGAACTTGTTTGATCGTAAGCACAGTTTAAGGTTGGTCGCGGGTTTACTGCATAAAAATTTTTACGGGAAAACATGTTCAGAAAAATTTGATATAATGTTCCTTAGAATTTGCGGCATATTATCTGAAATTTTTATTAAATTTGCCTACGTGAAGATAAGTAGCTTATCTTCTCTAGTATTATGAAATTCATAATTCTGCCCACAAAGTCAGAATGAACGGTATATTGATATAAACATTCTTCGTGCATTAGAATTAATATGCAGTAACTAGTGATGGGAATCGGTAAGAATTTCATAATCGATGATCGGGCTACTGTAACTAACTAATTATCAATTATAATCGGACATTTACAAAGTCTGTCAATTTAGTTTATCAAATGGTAAGAATGGATGAATAACTACTTTCTGTGGTGGTCCAGCTGTAGTTAGAATAATCTAACTGTGTTTCGGGACAAGCCGTAGTCCTTAGGACAATATTTTAACGATAGAACGTTCGATCTAATCCAGCTGGTTCTTCATTCATTTTGTAGAATCCAAAGTATGTCCATACCCGGGAATTAGCGTTGTTACCCGGGTATGAATACAATGTCTGTTCATCTACGCCATTACGATACACAAATAAGTTAATAGAAAAGTCGCGGCTGGAATATTTGGCTTGAAAACTATTACGCTTGTAAAATAAAATAAATAACCCGATTAATCGGAATAGAAATTTTGTAATCGAGCGCTTGGATTATGCCAACAATCGACTGATTTTCGATTATAATCGATGATTGGAACACCACTAGCAGTAACACTGCGATAGATAATATAATACAAGTAATGTTAGGATGTTCAAGTTCATTATTAAGAATTCAAGTATAACACGGTAAAGGAAAAAAAAAAGTCCACCATTGAATGTTCTTTTTAAGTCAATCGCAATTCAGTATATAGTCAGAACTCTCAAACATTTGTTCTTTCTTGTTTTTTTTTCTTTATTAATTTTTCATCATTAAAAAATGTAAAATACTTGCATTCAGCTTAAACACAGATAGCTTAATTTTGTTATAGAAAAAATTGTACTTGAAGTCTTGATACTTGTATTTCGTAATACATGTACAGTATATTAATATCTGTTTAGAGTGCCATAAAGGTCCGATATGCTGGGTGTTTGTATGAATTCATTTTAAGGGGATGAAGGACACATGGTCACATGACTGTTTAACTACATCATAGTCTCCGTTTATATAAGTGCAATATGTGTAAAGCATTAATTCTTGTATAATTTTTTGACAATTTTTTAACTTTAATTACCATCTTATATAAAAAAATTAAAAAGTTTTTACGTTCTTGTAAACATTAACAAATTATGAAAAAGATTGATCCACTCCTCTGTGTCCCTAAACTGCGTGTCCAACAAGTCGGTGACGTCATACATGATCTGTTAGTACAGCAAGATCATACTCGATGAACACAGGGGTGGTATTACAGTGGTTCCCGTTTTATCGAATAGTCAAGTTGTCAGCATAGTTTTATCCGAATAGCCGAAAATTAGAATAGCCGATTGCTCCATACCGAGTCCAAAGATAGATGTATAGAGCTACATGTATTGATAATACATCGTAGCTAGCAAATTTCAAGCTTGCACTTAGTTTTCTTTTGACATGTTTACTTAATGACTTTACTAAAAATAATTTATTTCACTTACTTATGAATTTAATATGAAATTTTTTATCAAATAAATTGACGTATAGAGTATATTCTTTGATAGATATTGCCATCTTTCTTCAGCACATGTTTACATTCCTTCTTCGATGGTCGCCATTTTGGAAAAGGAAGTAGACTAAATGCTTGACTAATAACCGTAAACTATTTTTCCCTGGATAGATTGTAAATTGAAAATAAACAAAAATATTAAATATATGTAATTGTTTCCTTTGGATTTGTTTCTTTAATACGGTTACGTATTTTATACTGTGTGTGAGTTTACCAGTCTCGTTCTTGTCTGCTGAAGAGAGATTTTGAGAGCCATGTCGAGAAAGTTGGTATGAATTTTGAGACGTATTTTTATAGAACGAGCCATTTGTGATTTTTACCATAAATTTTGCACTGAAAAGTGAATAAATATTAAGCCAATTTACCAAGTTAAACGATTGAATAGGGTTATTTCATTATCGAAGCAAATTGTCATACACAAGCTAATCAGTTCAATAATTAAAATTTCACGCCGAAAAAATTGCAGATAACTGTCATAATTAACAAGTGCATCATTGAACCCAAGCTGATCACCACAACTGTAATCAAAACATATCTATTTACTATGCCCACTATTGACACAGGTAAGGTGCCTGTGTGCGTCCAGGCGTAACTAATCCCCTCATTGTCGTACTCAAGCCAGTCAAGGTAATTGGTGTCAAACTGTGTAAACAAAGGCTTCACATACGAAGGTGGAGCAGGGCTCGACATTAATTTTTTCCCCTTACTTGTCCAATCGGGCAAGTGACCAAGACATTTACTTGTCCGAACTTCAACTTCACTGGTCCGAAATTTGTTCAATAAAGATACAATACTGTCAACTTGAAAACTAATATAAAGTCCATTACATGTGATTCATTCGTGATGTTATTGATAAATACAACAAACACTTAAAAACAAACTTTTATCTAGACTTTCTATCCTGACAACAACATAAATGTTCACAATTATCAAAAAGAACCTAAACTTCGTAACTCGACGTAACTTCATGCCCTCCTTTGCAGTAGTATGCAATTAGTGAACTTCGATCCCGATCAAGTGTGAACTCAATTACATAGCGATCCATATCGGGATCGAAGTTCGTTTTTTTATGTACTGCTTACGTCTTTACCGATGAACTTTCAATAGTCGTTCTTTTTATTATTTGAAGACTTCTTTATATTAAAATGCACTTGTCCAATCGGACAAGTGCCCAGCAATATTCACTTGTCCGTAATTTTTTTTCGCTGGTACCGGACAAGCGTTAATGTCGAGCTCTGTGGAGGTGTGAACAAAGTGCTGATTATCAAAAAACACTATGATAGTCCAAATTTTTGTATGGGATAAAACAAAATTCCAGTATTTTTTCATCAGAATATCAGGTGAAATTATTAATAAATATATAAGAAATGGTTTTGTGCTCTGATATTATATTGAAATAGCCGAAATATTCGTTAAACCGCTATCCGATAAAATGGAAGCCACTGTATTATGTAAAAACAGTTCATAATCAGTATATGATGAAATATTTTGAGAAATGGGGAACACAAAAATTATTTTGCATGGCTGATGACGGAAATCATATGTAGGTATATCTTATTTCGCTTATTTAGCTTACCTGTGACGTCATAGTTGGTTTTTCTCGTAGTCGAGAAATGTAACATGACACATTTTTGTCATGCTTATGTCCTCTTTAACGATGTCCTGTGAAATAATGAGGTCAGCTTCATCATTTGAAATTTTTACAGTTATTCAATAATTTGAAGGATTTGCATTTCAACGTAAATTAAAAAATATTGAATGATAGAATTTTTTGTAAATTACGTTTTTTATTGTTTAAGTTGTCTTAAAAACTGCGTAATTTTCCCTATCCAGATGCAGTGTGATAGACAAAACTTGCTTTTTTGAATTTTAAATCCTAGTTATACTCTGAAATAATTTAAAAGATACATGTCCACTTTGATATTTTTTACATATGCTTAAAAAATCCCATTAAGGACAGAGTAATTAGCCCGGAAACATGGAGAATTAAAACTCCACTTAGATACAGTAGGGCATAGTAATTGTCAATCAATATCTCCAAAATAAGGTAAGAAACCTAATGATATAACTGCTTTAAGATATGTGGGACATACTTAATTAGAAATATACAAAATATGAAAAAAATTGAATGACAAGTATTTTTTCAGCTCAAGGTCCTTCTCCTCCTTATTATAACATGTTTAACATGCATTTCACTGATAAATCAATTCCTTGCTAGCCTGCTTATAAATAGAGAACAACTTTATTAGATTCAAATACAAAATATTTTTTTAAAAAAGAGGAAAATGCATTTAATTAAATTTCATCCATTTTTAGTGTTTAGGGTTGATGTTATCCTTAAAATAACAAATGTGTTGTTTTTTTTTGGCTGTGATGAGCAAACATGGTGCATTACACACCTTCTCTTCATTGCAAATTTATGTGCATACATACAGCCTTTCAATTTTTCAATGTAGCAATTTACTGAAACCGTTACTTTCATTTTGCATGCCATATTTTTAACACTGAATCAATTTGATTAACCTTTAGTAGTTTAGTATCATGTTCAATATAAAATGAATTCCATGCATTTTGCATCACATTTATTATGTTTTATAAGTTTGTTCTTATACATTACACATATAATCAGAGCAGAATTAACTTATAATCCTCTAGGTTCATACATACAGTGTGCGAAACTAATCTGGAGAATGAAATAGCCCATTTGACTATCTCATTTGAAATTGGGATAGACCGTAGACAAATAGGAATGTCCAAAGAAAGTAAATTAGGAAAAAATGTGCTCTTGTTATTGTTAAATTTTTTAAAATTTATTCATTTATATTCTTATTGAAGTATCTGCTATATATTTTCATGATTATCTAGTGAAAATTAAATATAATCATGCAGTGTTCATGCATTTCACACCCCAAAAAACTGTGCAATTATTCAGACTCGTCGTATATAAACTTCACTCTGCAGACCAGCTAATATTTGTGAAAGACACAAACTCTAATTTCATCTTTATAGCTTTCCCTTTTCTCGGATTCATTATTTTATTTTCAATTTTTTTGGTTGTCTTTTTGTTGATTCAATTTGTGTTTTAATGCAGTGCTTCCTGCAGTCAGGATTTGTAGCATGCCTGATATACATAAACAGCAAGCATTGGGTAAAAATTGTACACC